TATAGAACAGTCTCGGATGACGCAATCGGCGTCATTGCTGGAATGACACCGATTGAGATACTGGCTGAAGAGAGGTACTCCCTTTATAGACGGAAGGAGCAATTATCACCGGCAGCAGCCGGGCAGCCTCTCGACAGGGGCGTGATGGCTGAGGCAGCGCTTGAAGCGAGTCGCTCAAGCCTCGTGAAGCGGCAGGCGAAGTGGCGTTCCTCGATGAAGGGAAGATGGATGCACCGCTTGATACCGGAAGTGGCCGCATGGGTCGACAGACGTCACGACGAGGTAAATTTCTACCTCACCCAGATACTGACGGGGCACGGGTGTTTCAGGGCTTCCCTCCACAGATTCGGACATGATGATTCCCCGGATTGCCCGATCTGCCCAGGGGTGCCGAAAATGCAGAAGACGGCTTTTTCATGTGCCCGTGGTTTGCGCGCCAGCGTGACCGTTGGGTGGCAGAAATAGGCGGGCCGACCGCGCCCGAAGCGCTGGTGGGTGCCATGCTTGCCGGTGAGGTCGCATGGAAGCCAACGAGTGACCTTGCAGCAATGATCATGAAGGAACTCCGAGTTGATGAACTTCGCAGGAGGGCAATTAACGTGGCAGGTGGGTGAGACAATAATACCTTGAATGTCCACTGTAACGAGATTTTTCTCGTTACTAGTGAAAACACTAGTAAAGTTACTAGGTGAAAGGAACGACATCTAACGCCGGCTGAAATAGCCGAGCGAAAGATGAGTAGACCATCGGACGACGGCCAGTCAGGCCGCTCCGAAGGTGAATTTGACCAATCACATAGTGGGAAGAAACGTGGTAGGGTGAGACCATGTTTCGGACACTGTGATGGCGCTGACGATAGCTGTTTCCCAATTCGGAAATCCACCCAGCTGTGTTAGGGAGTCCAGAGCCGACGTACAGGCGTTCCAACTGGGTGGTTCCGAAGGGCGCCGTTGACTTAGACCAGGGACCAACGGCTAGGTGAAAGGACTAGCGCCCCCCCGGAATCCCGTCGAGCTGATTGTTGGCAGTGGGGTAACGGATGACCCACAGTGGGTGAGAAAGGCCTCCGGATACCTACGTCGCATGTGCCTCGAGCAGTTCGGCGCCCTGCGGGGTGAGAAGGATTCGCAGGTAATCTGTGTCTTGTCTGGGGTTGAGCCACCCCAGAGGAGAGAGTACAACGTGCGAGGGATGGTCATATCCCTCCACGAGAGTCTGGGGAATACATTCCCTGAAGGATATCGTTGACGATGCCGTACGCGCGGCAAAAGTTAGTGATTGAAGTTACTCGTACGTTGGTGAACCTCGCCCAGTCTACCGTGTCATGCTGATGCTGGCTCGGCACTGTGAGGCCCGCCACCGAAAGTCCGCGGAGTTGACGAAATTCCATCGCGGCTGGTTTTCCGTCAGGTTTTCCAGAAAAACCTGGCTGGCGCCCAATCGTGAACGATAGAGGCGGCAGCCAGAATAGTTCGAGGAATATCCTGGGGTGTTGACCCGGGAAAAATACTCTTACACCACAGGTGCTGGGAGAGCAGGGTTGCCTGCTGATGCCCCCCCCCCCCCGCGAGGTCATGCCTGCCGTTAGGTTTCTCTGGGGGTTCACGGCATTAGGCGACGAGAGGAAGAAAAAGGGGGTTTACTCAGTAGGAATCTGAGATCTGGCCTTGATTGACCAAGCCCAGAAACTATGCAAGGTTCTCCAAAACATCTATTAAAAAAAAAAAAAAAAAAAACCCAGATACAGGAACCCCCCCGAACCTACACCTCTTGTATCTGTACAACCCTCCCCAGAATCACACCAACCCGCTCCCTTCCTGAACCGGTCGGTACCCTAACTCCCTCCATAACCGAAACCCCCCGCACCCTTAGACACACTAACCTTCCCGCACGCCATCCTGATACCACAACTGTCCCGAGTCTCCCCCAGGAAACATCTACATTAAATCCCAGCCCCCCTAGACTCCCGTCTAACTACCCCTCGTGTTCCCGAAACCTATGACTCTTCACGATCAGCCTTAACGACAAACCCCGACTTTATTACCTACAAATTTTTCCTCACCCTGACGTAGAATAACCCCAGGAAAATAGACATTTCGTTAAAATAAAATGGGGAAACCACTCGCTTCGCACCTTCATCCACTCGACGGTGAACCGATCGTTTATCAGTACATAGACAGGTATCAAATTAGATCAATACGCGATAGCCACCGGAGAAGAGGTTACCTTAGGAAACAGTCCCATGAGACGGGTGCGCTATTATGCGACTAACCTCGGACAATCGAGTCAGCTTCATCCCCTTCCGTCTAACTAACGCCCTTGCATTCGATTGCATCCTCGGGATGGATGCTTTAGAAGCATTGGAATTCACCCTAGGCTGTGGAGAGAAACGAACCCCTGACAGCCCCCTTATCGAAATCAGTGCCCAACCCGTCACAGTCTGGTACCCCTCGGACGGTCAAGGCCCCTCGCAATTATACCTCAATTTATCAAATCCTCCCCCTCGTGAATTAGCCTAATTAGCACTTCTTCCCGAAGCTGAGTCGAAATCCCTTCACGGCGAATTTAAACGTTGGATTAACCTTGTCCCCGAGATCGCCGCCGTTTGCCCCCTTGTAACCGTGTATATCGATACCAAAGACCACCCGTCGATATGCCTCCCACTTTTTAAAAGCTGCCCAAGAAAAGACCGCATAACTATTGAAAGAGGACATTATCGAGCCCTCGGAAAGTGGTTGGTGTAGCTGGTCCGTCTTAGTGAAAAAACTCGACAATAGTTATCGGTTATGCATTGACTACCTTAAGGCCGTGACTATACACCTGCCTATGCCAAGTTTAGAAGGCCTATTAGATTGGAGGCGCGAAGCAGTCTACTTGTCAAAAATCGAGGTTAGTCAGGCTTTCCGCCACATCCCCCTCGACGGAGAAAGTGAGGAGAAGACTGCCTTCGCGATTCCCGTACTGCCCCCTAAACTTTTCAATATAAACGGATGCTCTTCGGGCTTAAAAATGGCCGCGATGTTCCAACTCCTCACTGATATGATAATTTCCAGGCAGTGGTCCGATAACGTTCGGAAATATGCAGATTATTTCTTTATTTTTACCCGTATGGGTGACGAACATAAATGGTTCGTGTGAATGGTTCATGATTGACGACAAGTGTGAGTTTCTATGTGATCGATTAGGGTTTTTTTGATATTTGTTGACCTCGGATGATTCAGAAGCAGACCTCAATAAAGTCACCACTATCACGGACTACCCTCCCCCTCGGAATGTTAAACAATTACAGAGATTTCTCGGCATGGTTGGGTGGTATGTTCGATTTTTGCCCTCCCTTTCAGACGACGAAATCCCCTTGCTCGTATTCATCAGAAAAAATGTGACGTGGACGTGGACTGAGGAACACCAGAACGCATCTAAAAAATTAAAGATCTCCCTCATAACTCCCTCCGTACTAACCCGCCTTGCCATTACCAAACCCTGCACCGTACAGACAGACGCAAGCGACGTTGCATTGGGAGAGGCGTTGACGCATGAGTCGGAATTTGGAGCGGACCCTGCTCATACAAACTCTTCGAACGGACAAGATAGACTCATTTATTTCGCCAGTAGAGGATTGACCCCTGTAGAACGAAATGATATAGTGACGGAACATAAGTGTTTAGCAGTACTCTGGGCCACACGAAAATATTGCCCCTACATCAAAGGGGACAAATTTACCGTAAAGACGGATCACTCAAATTGAAAATGGTTGTTGAATTTTAAGACTCCCATCGGTCGAGTGGCCAGGTGGGCATTAGAACTACAGACCCAATACATGACTATACTCCATCGAAAAGGTTCCCTCCATACTGTGCCTGCTGCCCTTTCCCGCGTTTGCCACAATTCCCTTACCGCTCTCACGTTAATAAACTTCTTCCCCGACAAAAACCCCGATTGAACCCTAAAAGATGACGTACTGTATTTCCTCCGCCCCTGCCTCTACATTGACTCAACTGTCCCCGATCTAAACGGATGGAACATTGTTCTACCCTCGAAACTGAGACACGAAACGATACGTGACGCACATGACAGCCCATATGCCGCTCATGGCGGGATCGGCAAGACCTATATTCGAGTGCACGCAAATTTTTAGTGGTCCGGAATTCATAGAGATGTCGGGAAATTTGTAAGTTCCTGCCCCCACTGCCAATGATCGAAGTTCATCCAGATTGATCAATTCCTAGAGGATTAATGAAAGAAAAAACGATTAGCGAACCCGGGTACACTGTCGCGGGAGACATCATGAGTTCTTTTCCCTCTAGTAAGAATCAGCATCGGTATCTCCTAGTCCTAGAAGATGTGTTTATCCGGTAGGTGGAGATAAAACCCCTGAGAAAAGCCAACGCAAAAAATATTTGGTAAGTATTATACGAAACCGTCATTTTGCGTTGGGGAAAACCGCAGTTTTTCCTCTGCAACAACGGCACAGAGTCCGTTGGAAAAGATCTGGCGAAACCCTTAACTCAATTGGGAATCACCAAATTCACTACCTTTCCCTACCACCCACAATCCAACCCCATTGAGAACATTAATCGCTCCCTTAAACCAATGCTAGACATATATGCTGGCCACATATGTCTGCGCTTCGGGGACTTGCAGTATCGAAGTCCCTTTACCGGATAGTGGAAGACTATTACACAGGCAGGGTGCTAGCATATGATACACAAGAGGGCCCAAAGGAGCGCAGAGCCATGGGGGGTGTGCCACAAGGCTCTGTGCTGGGACCGCTCCTGTCGAATCCTATGCACGACAGGTTTCTGAGACTGATTCTACCTCAAGAGGTTAAGCTGGTGGCCTTTGGATCGATGACATTTGTATTGCCTTTGCGAGGGCTTCGTTTGGCGGAATACAAGACTGAAGCAGTGCTGACCTCGGGCCGGAAAACCTTGGACACCATCTAGCTGCGAGTCGGGAACTCCGATCGGACCTCGGGGTCGTACATACGATCCCTCGGGGTGATGATTGATGTCCTGCTCAACTTTAAGCAGCAAGTGGAGTATTCCACTGCCAAGGCTTCTGGAGTCAGGGCGGCCCTGTCTCGGCTTATGCCGAATGTTGGAGGTCCTGGACAACGGAGGAGAGCCCTGCTGGCGTCGGTGAGTACGTCCGTACTGACATACAGCATAGCTATCGGGGGAGAAACATTGAGAACGCAGAAGACCAGGCGGAGGACGACAGCAGACTACAGGCTGAGGGCGCTCAGGGTAGTCTGTGCTTATCGTACCGTGACGGACGATGCGATTGGGGTCATTCCTGGGATCACACCCATTGAGATCGTGGCGGAAGGGAGGCGTAAGCTCTATGGAGAGAGAGAGAGCAACCTCCAGCGCCTACAAATGGAGCATCCGTAGATAGTGGAGAGGCGGTAGAGGTTGCTAGTGAGGCAGGGTGCAGCAGCCTTGCCGAATGGTTTTGCTCCTTGCCAAGTGGCGCATTTCGACAAAGGGGAGGTGGACCTACCGCTTCATCCCCGAAGTGAGCACGTGATAGTGAGGCGGCATGGCCAGATGAATTTTTAACTCACGTAGCTGGTCTCGAGGAATGGTTGCTTTAGAGTGTTCCTACACAGATTCTGACATGATGACTCCCCGCATTGCCAGATCTGTCCGGGTTCGGCTGAAGTCGCCGAGCACACCTTTTACGTTTTCCCACGGCTCACTTGTTACCGTGATCAGTAGATGAGAACGATTGGTGCACCAACTCCGCCCGAGGCGCTGGTGGGTGTCATGCTGGCCACGGAAACGGCATGGGAGGCTACCAGTGACTTCGCGGCGGTAGTCATGAACGAACTGGAGATTGACGAATTAAGCAGGAGGGAGGCAAACTTGGCAGGTAGGTTGCCTAGTATTGTTATATCTATTCACAGGTGCAGGAAGAGCGGTGGCATACTGCCGAAATGCCCCCCACGAGGTAATGCTTGCCGGCGGTTCCGTGGGGAGCCAGGGATGAGACAACGAGATGAAAACAGGGGGTTTACTGAGTGGTAATCTCAGGAATCTGAATAGAAATCTGGCGTTGAAAGACCTCGGTCAACACCTATGTAAGGTTCCCCAAGACCTCTTTAGAAAAAAAAAATCCTCGAGACCCCCATCGACCATCTCCACATCGCCACTAGACTCCGACGACGGATATAACCCATCCCTCCTTCCATCCTTCCCTCCTCACCCTCACAGTTCCCCCCGGCCCCTCACCCTGAACCCCTCCTGTCCCTTCGCGACCTCCTACCCTTCCCGCTCCCAGTACCACCCCATGCCCTCTATGACGCCACCCCACGATGCCCCTAAACCTCTCCTATCCCCCCACAATCACCACACAGTGGCGGGAGGAAGTGCAACGGTGACCACTGAGCCAAAGACTGCCCGGTCCTGGCTCGCCATTACTTCTTCTTCGGCCGCTGGAGAGAAGATGATATACTGACGTGCGCCGATTGCAGATGTTTCTCCTAAATCGACCTCGCACTGACCACGGCTTGAGGAGGATGAATTGTTTTTTTCTGGTTTACGCGGTTGCGAGACGCTGGCGTTATGGTTTTTTTGTTCTTTTTCTTTTCTCTTTTCTTCGGGATATGGTCTCCTTTTTCTTTATTGCTGTCGAGGACCCACACTCATTAGTTAGTTTACAGTAGACATTAGTTTATTTTATAGGTCTCATGCACTACCGTTAACAACGTTCCTTATGTTACCCGTTTCTTAATTTTGTGCCAAATAAATATACGATTCCTTGGACAGCGGAAACATTACTACGCACCCTCTCCCTTTTTTGTTGTATAATAAGAAATGAATGATTGGGAAAGGGATTTAACAGGGAGGTAACAAGAGTTGATTGAGACTGTTTGAATGTATGAGTAATTGAGCAGCCTTCCTTCCAGCTCTTCACTCCTGGAGTCATCGTGGCAGTGAATTCAAAAAGAGAGTTAACGGTTTTTTCAACCCCATGTATGTACTGCCCCCGGGACAGCTGTAACGAGGCAATATTTGGCTCCTCCCTCTACTTCCCAATAATTACACAGTTATTAGTATAATTAGGATAAGCTAGGGTGAATTAGGTTATAAAACCTATCACTATCGGGTTCCCACTTGCCAAATATTCCTTCCCCCACCCCCTTACCCCTCGCCGATAATCGAGGAAGAAGGTGATCATGTGAAAAGACGCCATGACTCAATCTGCAACTGCCCCGAGCGTTAACATGTTTCGGAGTAGAGAAGTGTAGAGATATTTGGAGAGATTTGGAGATTGTTGGGATAATTTTTGCAGGGAGAGATTGGGGTGCCAGAGTACAGTATACCAAGGTGTGAAGGAGAGTGAAGGACGAGGGAAGAAAGAGAGGATAACCCGGATGATTTTTACGGCGTGAGAAAGGAATTGGGGGCCATCGACGTGAGTACCCACCTGTTAATTCCCTGCCCAACGAGTTTACCCTTAATCATAATTTCGCCCCATCGGTGAGCCTCCGAATATATTTCATAATTTGTATTATTTTGCACTTGTCCATACAGTCCCGATTTGTGAATATTGTAGTACACTCGGTCCCCCTAATTTCTCCCCTTTTGGTTCTCAGTCGATTCCCCCTTTTCATTCTTCTTTTTTTGTGTCATAATTAGCGTATCGCCGCAAGTTGACTGGCCTTACTCCTCTCCCTCGATTTAATCATATTGTTTTGTTCATTCTGTCGGATTCATTATAAATTAATACATTTTTTCCTCCCCGGCCCCGGACGAGCTCGTAAAGAGACGAAGGGGAGGGCTGAGCGCCAACCGGGTGCGTCGTCAGGTAGCGGATAGTGGGACGGCCGGGGAAAGGAAGGGGCTGGGGTACCAGGGTCGGGTACTGAGAAGTATCAGAGCCTGGATCTGGCTAGTCCTAGCCGGACCCCGGTCAACGAGCGCTATAGGGGCAAACTCGGGGGTAACTCCCTGATAGGGCGCTCCAAAGCACCGTCGCAGACCAACTCCCCAAGCCAAGGTGGGAGTTATCGTGCCGATGGCTGGATGGCACTGGGGAATAGTGTCGTTAACGATACCCTTGAGGCAGCAGGCAGCACCTCATTGTAGCGATGCCTTACCCCAGTAACCAGGCTCTGCTGGGGCGGACCTCTATTTCCTAGGATACTCGTGGGATGTCTATGTACAATTCACAATTACCACACAACGCCGAAGGCGGTGCCCTCCCAGAGGGAACGCCAGAGGCAGACAGATCAGTTGAGGCAGCAATCCCCGGCGATCCCACAGGGGTTCAGGAGACGGCCGCGGTCTCGGCAGGGGGGACGGAGGAGGGAACTACCGTGGTAGGACCCACCAAGGATCAACCTGCCCCAAAGGACAAGCGCAAGCGACGCACGGGCGCGGAGAAGTGCAGGGCTCGCAAGGCCAGGCTGGAAGACGAGGCTTTGCGGGAACAGCGCTCCTCGCAGGGAGGGGTGGAGACCCCAGTGGGAGTGTCATCTCGCCTCTGCTGTGGCTTCTCGTTGCGGACGGGCTCCTCACTGAGCTTGAGAGACTGGGGGTAGACGCAATCGGATACGCAGACGATGTGGCTTTGCTCGTGAGTAGCAGGAATGAGGGCATACTACACCGGAGGATGCAGAATGCGCTGGACTATGTTCAACAGTGGTGCACCTCTCATGGACTCAGGGTAAACCCGAGCAAGACGGAGATGGTGCTCTTTACTAGCAGGTGGAGGTGTGTCGTACGACCCCCCTCCATTTATGATACAGTTCTGGGCTTTTCGAACGAGGTAAAATACCTGGGGGTATGCCTCGATAGAAGGCTCAGCTGGAAAAAGCACATCACCATGCAGACGAACAAAGTCATAATGACTTACTGGGCATGCAGGAGGATGTTTGGCAACACGTGGGGGCCTAGGCCCAGAATCGTGAAATGGAGCTACACGGCCATAATGCTCCCACAGCTTGCGTATGCTGCTGTTGTCTGGTGGACGGCAATGAACAAAGCCTGCCACAGGAAAACGGTAGACAGGACGGGCAGGCATGCGATGCTGGGAATTACGGGGGCACTCAGGACGACCTCCACCTCAGCACTGGAGGCTCTGCTCTTTCTCCAGCCGCCCCACCTTCCCATTAAGGAGGTGGCGCTGATCTCGGCTGCGAGATTACGACTGCAAGGTCGATGGAAGGAGGCCAGTAGTGGTCATGCGGCAATGCTCACGGCGGACAGCGACCTTCGGGGACTGCTGTCCTGGGGAGGAGATGCCTGCGGACCGCGATGGCACCTCCAAAAGAGTTTTAAGGTCAACCTTGGATATGGGGCAACCCAACTAGGGAGTGACAGAAAGTGGACGCCACCGAAGGGGCTGGTCTGGTAAACGGATGGCTCCAGAATTGGTAATAGAGCGGGGGCAGGGATCTGGTCTGAGGGACCTTCAATTGCAAGGGCCCTTGGATTGGACCCGCATACGACCGTGCTCCAAGCAGAGCTTGCAGCCCTGAAAGCCTGTGCCAGGGAAATTCTAGGCAGGGGGGACAGCGGCGAGAAGATATACATTTGCTCAGACAGCAGGCGTGCGTTGAGGGCACTGCTCAAGAATGAGAGTTGCTCTCGATTAGTCAACGACTGTACTGAGCTGATGGAAAGGGTGGCTTCCCATAATCAGCTGGAAGTGGTCTGGATTCCGGGCCACGCTGGCATCTTCGGCAACATGAAAGCCGACGAGCTGGCCAAAAGAGGTTGTCTAGAGGTTGCGCCAACAGAGGAGAACCCAGTGGGGGTGCACATAGACTTCGTTAAGGATATGATCTGGAAACGAGCGGAGAGGGGGGTTGTGGAAAGGTGGCGCTCTGAAGAGGGCGCCAAACATACAAGGAC